GACAGCGTACCTGCATAAGATGCTGCACTGCAGCTGATATACCATTATGCAGCTCTCTCTTTATTCCTCCCTCTCACAATGCACTTCCATCTCTATCAAAGGAGAGATCGGATTTTGTTTGTTGGTTAAATTTAATTTAGCGTTTTCCAGTTACATTTTCAGTTGCAAAATAATGTGCATGCCATGTCATATCTAAGTATTTGAATGTTTTGCTAAAGAAAAAATAACTCTGTGTGTGTTGATAAAAATGTGAGCAGCATCTAAATGATGGAATGAAGGAGTCATGCAATATGTCAGTAATATTTCAGGTTAAGCAAAATATCCCCAAATATTTTAGATATTAATTTTGAGGCAGTTAACAAAACGCCTGACTCTTTTAATGTGCACATTCCAACCAATTAAACTCGCGAGGGCATTCAACAAAAGCCATGTTCTTTTTTTCCTTGACAAGTTTGCACTCCCTGCCTCCATCAATGCCACAAATTCATCAAATATTCACACGATGCTGAATCACTTGAGGACAACTCTAAAAGTTACTGTTACCTTGGACGTGACTCTACAACAGAATTTACTTGCTCGCGAACCCATTATTTCTCCTGTAAAAGAATTGTTCACGACAATCCAATCTGCAGAGGAATTTTGCTATTCATAAAGAACACAAATTAAATCTCTCTTAGTCTCCCAGTCTGATCGATGTTGTGTGAGTGATTACAGTACAAGTGTTGTGCAAAACTGGACTGGAGTCTGTTTGCATGTGTTGTTAACAACACAAGAAACTATATTGATCATTTCACTTACTTTGGATTACATTTGATGAACACATTGACATAGATTTGTAGGTTTAAAGTTAAGGACTGTAGTTTACATTATATAAACCATGGCTACAGCTTTTAAATGCACACAAGTCGTAATGCTAATTATTGCTATTGTCAAACCAATGATCAATGTTAGGTAAAAATTTTGGAAGGCTGTATGAATTTTAACTGAAACTACACGAGAAGAAAACTGACCAACATTATACTGAGCTGATTATCTCAAGATTCACTGTCAGTCCAAGACTGACTTGACAGCAAACCTCCGATATCTGTCCATTTTATGCTCCTTATCAGGTCTCCAGATCATGAGGGTAGCAATTTAATCAGAGATACCCAGAAGTCACTCTCCCCGGACACCTCCTCCAGCTTTTCTAGTGGGACACTGAGGTATTTCCAACCTAATATTATCTCTCCTGAGCTTCCTGGTTAACCCCAGGACATCCTTCTAGTTGAACATGCCCAAAACATCTCACCTATAGGAGAAAGCCACCTCCGCTGACTGCTTTTAGTGTGAAGAGGTAGCAGCTCTACTCCAGGTGCTTCCCAGATGATGGAGGTCCTCACGCTATCTCTAAGGGACAGCCCAGATATTCTTCAGAGAAAGCTCATTCCCCATGTGTCCATCTAGTACAGGTGCTACACCAATCCATTTGTCATTCTACTGCGCTGTAGTTCTCCCTCCATCAAGAAATAGCCCCAAAATACTTGAACTCCCTCAGTTGGAGCAGCAACTCATTCTCAACCTGCAGCGGGCACAACACCCTTTCCCAATTGAATGTGGCATGTTGTATAGAGCACTTTGAGTACTCCGGGAGAGTAGAGCACGCTACATAAGAATCTGTCCATTTGCCGTTCACCCCACCTGTCAGACTGAGTTCGTCCTGTTATTTAAATGGAAAATGAAGCTGAAAGATAACTGTTTCTGACTCAGTAGAGAATTGTGCAGGGTGCATCATAGAGGCAAAACATGACGCAACAGAATCAAATAAAACAGAGAATGCTGTGGAATAGCAGCTCCACTGGAAACTACCCAGACGTGCATGTGAAGATGCCCTTGATGGGGAGATTGTTGAATTTTAAAGGGCCCCTCTACCAGAGCCTTTGCTTACCTGGACCTGAGTGGATGTTTTGTGTTTTGTGCGTATTATTGATATTTACATATATGTGTGTGTGTGTGGGGGGGGGGGGGGGGGGGGGGGGGGGTGCTTGCGATTTGTGTGTTTATTAAGCAAAGCCATGTTCTCAGGAGAATTCTTGCTTTTCACATAATTTAAGCACATCCTTAACAAGCAATCCCATTATATAACCTTATGGTATAAAAGGCCCTCACCCTGTTTATCTTAATGATCCAAATAAGTCTAAATAAGTCAGCTACTTTCTTTTAATTTGTTGTCTTCCTTTTATCCTCTTGCCTTTGTCAGCAGCTATGTTAATGATGTTGACGGTAGCCTGCTTGGCTTCAGGCGTTGTTGATCAAATGCCAGTTAATAAATGGGATTTGAATAGCACTTGTTTACTGTCAACTCTCAGCTTATATCTGCTTCATTCTGTCTTTGTCCCCACCTATATGTGTGTGAGTGTGTTTGTTTGTAAGAGTTTGTGGGTGTGTGTGTGACTGTGTTACAGGTGGCCGCCCAGTAGGTGGGAAAATGCAGGAAGTCTGCTTGTCTGTGTCCACATGTATCAGACGCAGCATGTTTTTCCCTTTCAAAGGCGAGGTATCCTGTGTGTGTATGTGTGTGCGTGCATGTGTGTTTATGTATGTCGCCGATCACGTTGGGCGGCTGACTTCCAGGAACCCCTGCAGCAAAAACAGGCACTGTGTGTTTCCTGCTCTCGCACACCATTATCACAGGACACACACACACACGCATACACGGATCATTGCCCTATTCTCTTTTCCCTTGCAGGTTTCCTCAACGCCTATCCTTGTGCCTCCGGCTGTCAAGATGTTTCACTGTGATTGTCATGAGAGAACTTGCTCTCTGGGAGCAAACTAGAGAACACAAATAGGCGAGGAGTGACAGCATCCTCACAGCTCTGCCACTTTTTCTGACCACATTAGGTTGCTCACCTCGAGTGGGCACCTTTCTTCTGCACCTATTCTGACCTTTGGTGTATCTTATTCAGCTATGCGCTCACAACAGAACCTCCTTCCGTCATCGTGACTTACGTCTCATTTTCTTTTCCTGTCTCATTATCATTCAATATCACTTCCTTACCTTTCCATTCCTCACCTTCAGCATATCTATTCGCACATCCTATCACTCGTCTTGGCCCATTGCCTTTGTCAGAAGCTTGCAAAAGGACCTAGATGCAAAAATGTAAGTACAGCACGAGTGCTAGTGACACTATCTGTCGATATTGCCTTTGAGAACACAACCCACTCCTGAGACGGTGCAGATGAGAAGTGAGAGATGAGAGTAAGAAGAGAGAAAAAAGTGAGAAAGAGAAAAACTCAAAGAAAAACTATTGCAAACGATTGCCGTTAATGGCATCATTTTTACCACACAGTGATTGCATTGAGGAATTCACAAGCTTCACATTAACAATTCGCTAAATGCTTTACATTCAGCACACAACTGACAAATGTAGTAAGTTATGATGATGCTCCAAAATCCAGATGATCCAAAATGGCCAATGATTTCAACCTAAATCAGAATGTGACACAACACAACATTACACTGTCACGTCATAGCACACTGTCCTCCAATTAAGTGATGCATAGAAGAGGACTACAAGTGTACAAAAACTGCAGAATAAAATAAAACACAAATGATTACAACAGAATGCTTTATGAGATGTTGTGAACAGGCAATGGTGCATGACTTGTTCAACCGTGCAGTTCAAGTCGCCCGGTTGTTATCACCGAGTTGTAAACGTAGCTTCTGCTCTGTACTTTCGCTGGCTCTGCGGGTGAGATGATTTCCAGATGGTCCCGGGAAAGTGTTTGCCTTAGGTTACTGCAGGCCAGCCAGCTTGTGCCTTTTTCAGCTGAGAGAAAGATGGAGGTGCAGTGTGTGTGTGTGTGTGTGTGTGTGTGTGTGTGTGTGTGTGAAAGAGAGACAGAGAGAACGAGAGAGAGAGAGAGTGTACATAAAGTGGAGACATGGCTCACACAGCTCTACTTTTTTTTTTTTTTTTTTGGCTTCAGACATCCACACAATAGTAAACCAGGTCCTCGAGCACCCAGCTGGCTGGATTCGGTCCATGACACTCAACTGTGTGTGTAAGTGGTTCAGTGGTCAAAGGGCTCCCCAGACTAAAAAACAAAAAACTAGATCATTTATTTAGAAGATAAGAAGAATGAATGCATGTTTCTATCCCCTACTGTTAATTGCATTTTGATACCTCGCTGTGTGCCCTTTCAGCAGAAGAGGGCTCAGTGATGACTCAGTTAAAGGAGCACCTGCCAAACCTCCAACAAGCAAAAACAATGCAGAAAAATATGGTATTTACTTTGTGCATAAATTCATGAGAGCTCTCCTCATTGGTCGAAACATAGCTAGAGTTTTAATGTGGAAGTTTCTGTCACTGTTTAAGTAAAAAATCCTTTTCCCTGTCAGACCTGTGGAACTATATTTAGTAGCATTAGAGAACATTTTCCACGTCAATATAACAAGATTTTTGGTTTTTTTGAGATTCTGACATTTTCACTTGGGTTACATTTTACATGCAAATTGAAAATACAAATTCAAAGTATTTTCAGCATGGTATCCTAACAAAAACTCGGAATTTTAAGCACTTGGATGACGCCTCAGGGATATATTTTTAAAAGAGTAGCCTACACTGGACCGACTTACCCTTTAACTGAACTATGAAAGCTAATCGTGACTGCAATGGCTAATGATGCTGTTGAATATACATGTACTGGCATGTAAATTACGGCAGACTTGGAAAATCACCTACCTATCCAGTAATGACTAAAGGACTTTAGAAAGGAGTTTTAGGGGCTACCTCGCTTCAAGTGAAAATCCTTTAATGCCACAGACACTAAAGAAAACACTTCTGACCGGAAACTGCGTTTTCCAACCTGTTTAGGGCACACAGATGCTGGCTGCTGCCCAGTCGCCCCCACCTCCTCCTCCTCCTGCTCCCCTCCTCAGCAGCGCTTCAGTCCCGCCCATCGCCACCTGGCTCTGCTGCGCACCGCCGACTGGAGGCAGAGTGTCGCTACTCCTCTTCCCCACGCCAACGGAGAAGCAGAACACAAGGAGCCCGAGTCCGAGGGTGTGTGGATGATTTTTTTCTCACATATAAAAACTGATTTTTTTTCCGGAATCGAAACTGACGCTTAAGGGATTTCGGAGGAAAGTAAGAAGACGGGTTTAAAAAAAGAAGAAGAAGAAGAACTCAGACAGGGTGCCCCTGCGCAGTACAGCATCCTCCCTCTGCATCTGTTTCTCATCTCTCCTCCTTTGCCTCTGCGCTTTTTACAAGATTCCCGATTCTCCCACACTGCATATCCCCAGTGACTGATCACTTATTGCAAGCCGAGAGGTGCCCTTTTTCTTTCTTTTGTCGGAGTTTGAACCACATTTCTGAGCTGCTGGGAGTATACCACCAGAGCCCCTGAAAGCTGGCTGGACTGTAGTTTTCGTCTTCCCGATACAGGCGGATCATCGAGGGGACCTTGCGCGGAGTCAAAAGGACTGGAAATTATTTAGCCCTCTCACATCGACGTGCCGCATGGTGGGAATTTCTGCCTCTTTTCAGTGTAAGTGTTCTCTCTATTAATAATAATGTTAATATTTCCCAATTCACGCCTTATTGGAGTGTTTTGTGACTTCGTATGCACACGTGTGCGCCCGAATTACGAAATATATCACAAAATACTCAACACACCTAACTGAGATTTTGTTTTATTTCTACTTTGATATATATTTATATATTAATGTAAATTAAGCAGACTGCGCTGCAGTCCAAACCCCCCTAAAAATTATAATACAATAAATACATAATCGCCAGGGAGTGCATTTCTTTTTTGTTAGAGAAATGTTTTTATTGCCCGAGATTATGTGCAGATCTGTTTCACATAGAAACGGTGCGTTTGTTTTGTGCATAATCGTGTTTCATTCTAATGGGAGAAAAAGACCGAGCAATCAGCGCTGATGTGTCTCACATTACATTTATCGCTCAAAAAATTAGAGAAAGTGAAAATACTCCGGCTATTGCCTGCTAATTATCTAGAAATGTAATTAATGAAGACAGTTGGCTTTCTAGTTTGTTTAACCAGCATGCTGCTGTCTTAATAAAAAAAAAAAAAACAGCTCCCAGTTCAAGAGCTTGTGCCCAAGATGCGCAGCTGTTCTGGGGCAACAGGCAACTTAAGTTTACGGACCAAGTCTCGTCATCACCTTCGTTTCAGGTGGAGCAATCTTCACATTAAGTGTTGATCTTCGAAAGACATTACACAACGTCTTGGGAGTTTAAAAAATAAAAAGTCACAATTTTTATTATTCTCACTGCAGAAACGGAGACAAATATTACAAATATTTCCTGCAAGTAGTCAACAATAATCCTACTACTGACTACTTTATGTTTTTTGGGGGGGAGGGGGGGTTGTTTGTTTTACTTTTGCGTGAGGATTTTGAACTCAGCCTGAGCCTCTCAGTTCTGTTCAGTGTAGAGCTGCTTCTTCTAATCTTTGCCTGGGAGTCCTAGAAAGCATTTCTAGAGACTTTGCATTTCAGACTTTGAATTTGAAGTACAAAAAAAAGAAAAAAGAAAAAAAAGGAAACATCATCCGGAGCGCTGACACAACTCTCAAACGCATCTTCTCAAACCCATGTGAAGTTTCCTTCTCCACCCGCTGCGACTTTGTCATCATCACATAACCGAAAATCTCCAAAAACGGAAATCGGATTCCTCCCCCCCCCCCCCCCCCCCTTTTTTTTTTTTTTTTTTTTAATGGAGTGGCATAGGGTTGAAATTAAAGGCTTTGGGCTATATTTACTCCAGTGGGAATCTTTTCCCCCGACTGGGAAAAGAACAGACATGCGGGTTAGGGAGGGAGGCTGCTATGGCACAACATGCTGTCGATGCCCGACTGTTCTCACGGCTCAGATTAGAGAGAGAGGAAAATATCTTCTGGAAAACCATAGGGCTTTGGACATTTTTTAGGCATACCAAATGCTCCCCACACAGCATCGTACACATTTGTAGACGTCCAAGAGAGCGCTTGTTAAGTCCTGTCAAAGGCATGAAACAGAGCAGAGGTGGCTTTAGATGAGCTAAATAAGGGCGACCGGGTACAGAATGAGCAAGAGACACTGATATATACTGATCAACAAGAAAACAAAGTATGGCAGCAGTTTAAAAATGCTCCTCTCAAAGAGATATTTTATTGGGATATCATGATGCAGGTGTATCCTGTGTCTGTGAGTCTTTTAAGTCATTGAAATGAAGATCCAGGATTATTTTTCATTCTGTCTTTCTTTCTTTTAAATCCCTGTTTAGTCTAATAATTTACTGCAGTGGCGATGCCAGGTGATGTGGTTGTTCTGGCTGTCATTTATTATGCCATCAGTTGTTTGTTTCCCATCCTTTTAACGCTGGGACTTCCATTAAAGTAGTGACTTGACTGAAAAGACCATTACCTGGAGTGTGTGTGTTTACAGAGATAAAGAGGGGGGGAGGGGGGGGGGTAAATGAAAGGTAAACAAAGCTGCTGATGAGGGGAGAGTAAATGATAAGTGCTGTTTGCAGGTTATCTCTGCGTTTGTGTGTGCGCGCACGTGATTGGACATGTGTGAGTGCGTGCTGCATGTGTGTGCACTGTATAAACAGGCTTGTATTAACGATAGCTGCTAAGTCTCTGCGGTCCATGCTCCCCAGCATTGCACTTCCAGGGGCCATCTGCCCAGCCACCAGCCTGCCTCACACCTGTTCTCCCTCCTCCTCCTTCTCCTCCTCCCAGCTCTTGGGCTATAGGGTCAAATGCATCAGACCGCTGCTCACACACATGGACGGCCTTGCAAAAAATGATGGCAGCCATTTTATTCTCGCCTTCACACACAGCCAGAGAATCACACGTAGACGTACCTCTGGTTGGCAGATTGAACAAGTGATGCTGAGAAAGGCTGTGTGTGTCACATGCACACTTTCACAATGTGGCATAGATATCGTACACACACACACACACACATATGCACACACACTCTTTGGTTTCACTGTTTCCCCTGTTTTTTCATGTTAAGCGCTGGTAATAGCTTCCTAGCAATTTATACTGCATATTTAAATCACAGCAACAAACAATGAAGTACTGCTTTTAGAAAGAGAGAGAGAGAGATTTTTTTCATGTCTCGCACAGAGTTACACTGAGACTCCAGTGCTGCGATGTAGTTACAAAGCACTTCTTTTAAGTGTGTCACACAGACGTTTGGATGCAGTCCAGGTTTGCTATACGGTGAATAAGTGATGATGACTCAACACAGTTCATATGCTGACTGTCTCAGGTTTAATACAATCCACTTCAAAAGCAGCGCAACCCGGATCACCTGTAATTTTTTCGGCATTCTCAATTGGCTCTATCAGAGCCAGATTCTAGTATACAGAACTTAACACAAGCTCCCTCGTTTGTATACAGCCTACAGTATATGCTCTAAATTATGTATGCTCTCAAAGATTTTTGGTTGTTTGTTTATTGTATAATTCAGTGCTTAGAATAAGTGGGCTTTCCTGGCGCTACTACTACTTGGGATTTTCACATAACTGCTGTGTCAATCTAGAAGGTCTGTTCTTATCTAACTCCACGAACAACATAAAAACTTTACAGTATTCGTCATTCTTTTCACTGGGTTTTGGTGCACATTTACCACAGCTGCCGTTACTGCAGAAATGTGTATAAAGATCGAGATGGTGGAGCCTTGGACACAGATTGGAACTGAAGCAATGCAGTCAGGGGGCAACTATCAGCTGCCGAACCAGATACTAAAATCAGTGTTGCATGCACTCCTTTAAGATGTATAGATCTCTTCTGATTATTCAGAGCTGTCTGTTATCAAGTCCCAGAGTGAATTATAGTGTGCGTGCACGTGCATGGGCATGCACATACGCATGAATGCTTTTGGAGATCGATAACCCCATTGATGGTTATCAGTGAGAGGGCAGTTCTCCTCACTGCTTATTGAATTTCATCGCCCATGAAAGAGCAGCGGTGGTATAAAAAGGACTTGCAGGTAGGTGTGTTTGTGTGTGTGTGCGTGTGTGTCCGTTTGCATTGTATACGCGGCGCTTGTGTGTCCACACTCTCTTGTGCTTACAGAAGCAAGAGGTCTTTGTTTTATTGTAGCTGTGAGATGGCCTTTACAGGGTCTGATTTAATGTCAAAGTGAACGGTGAGCGCCACAAACTGATTTTATTGGCCTTGTTCGTGTTTTTTACTCTGGATAACATAAGACTTATAGGTCAAGTGAAGAAGAGGCCGACAGGGAAGGGCCTCACAGTTCATAATTTTTCATGGAGGATTTTTACCTTTCTAGCATTTTTTTTTATTATTATTTTAACTTACTTTTTCACTTAGCCAGAACTGATAATAGATTGGTTCCAGAGCAAATCTAAAAGCAGCCGTGTCATGGGAGATGTAGTTTTTTCATATGTTTAGGGTAAATGGTTAGCTGTATCTATTGCACTCAGGTTTCTGGGGCTTAAAGTACACACTCAAAATAGACACATCCAGGACAATATAAACCCACACACTGTCACACATGCAGAGCGCTTCCTCAGTCCTCTGTATACAGATGCGGATTGAGTTGCTAATTAACTCTACTTTCTCTAACTGTATCGCTCACAGACAGACCTCCACACAAACAAATGCACACATATAGAACCTCTCTCTTAGGCTTCTTGTCATGATGTCTGTCCCCTTGCTCTCGCTCCCTCTCCCTTGCTCTCTCTCTCTCTTTCTCTTCCACTGTTTATTTTCCTGCCTCCATCTGGAGTCGGCTGATATTGTAATCGCCCTAATGCACATTGCCTTCCCTTCTCTCTCTCGCGCTCTCTCTCTCAGTCACACACACACACACACACACACACACACACACACACACTTACTCAACACACATACATACAATGTGCCATCCTGACAAGCCCCTTTTCTTATTTCAAAAGATAAGCAACTGGATGTGATTGTGTGTGTGCGTGTGAGTGTGTGTGTGCAGGTGTCTATACAGTATGTCCAATGAATACGAAAGGACATACCCACGACTGTGTTTCCCCCTACACTCTGCTAAAGGTAATGATATTGAATAGGCGCTTCTTAGTGATGTGGAGCAGCGATAAAGTGACCAAGTGAAGATGTTACCCTTTATCTCTCACCTTCTCAATATTCACCTGTCGCCCAATTTACATTTAAAGATTAAACAGAGGACCTGGTGGGCTGGGGGTGGTTTATGTCTTCTGTAAAGATTCATCTGAAAAGGAACAGAGTGTACTGTATGTAAGAGAGTCTGAACTGCCATCTCTAAGCTTTTCTTCATGATTCAGCAGAGGTTTGAGATGCTATTCGGTGGGAATGTCTACAAGCACAAACAGACACACACACACACACACACAAACGCTCGCACAAATCCCGAGGACACACAGAGAGGTTTGATTGATGGGAAGTATGAGCTGTGAAGCTGTGCGATTAGGAGCCTTTTTTCTCCCCAGTTCACGAGAGGACAATTGCTGAAGAATGGACCAGTTTGCTTTGCTACCAGTCCATAAAACCTGACC